TGCTTTAGCACAAGTCACACTTCAGTAGTACGTTTCATGAAGGATGCATTGAACAGGCTGTGTAAAGCACAGACGACAAGCACGGTGGTTGTGACAAAGGGAGAAGATGCCATTAGCAACACAGAGAAGTCACTAGAAGCTGTGGCTCCATGCTGTCATGAGGAAGCAGACACACGAATATTTGTGCATGTTAAGGATGCAGCAATGGAAGGTAGCTAGTCCCTCATCATCAAAGCCAATGACACTGACGTTGTCGTCATAGCAGTATCTGTACTGCCATCACTACAGGAACTTGGTCTTGATAACATGTGGATTGCCTTTGGCCAAGGAGCCAGTCATCGATGGATTCCAGTTCATGATGTAGTTTCTGCGATAGGGGCCTAAGAAAGCTAGTGGGATCCTATACTTTCATGCTTTCACTGGCTGTGCCATTGTGTCTGGCTTCATTGGGAAAGGAAAGAAATCTGCATGGCAGACATGGAATGTCTGTGATGAAGTTTCAGAAACATTCACCAAATTCAGCCAATGTCCAACAACAGTTGCTGATGTTGACCTGCAGAAGCTGGAAAGATTTGTTGTCCTCATGTACGACAGATCTAGTGCAGCCACTGGTGTAGATGGCAAGACTAAATCTCTTTTCCCGCAAGCAGAGACCATAGGTAGTAGGTATTAGGCAGCTACCAAACAGGGAGGTACTACCGCCTGGGAAGATATTAGAAGCATAATGTGTTGTCTAGCGTAGACCCTGCTGCCACATGGCATCACGAAAATTGTGACCAAGTCCCAGGTTGCTGATCTGACTTTCTGCCTCATTTACACACAATTGCAGGGTCTCAATTGTTTCTCTTACTATTGACAACACAACATACATATATTATTCCTCACTTTTGATATTTTTTCATTTTGTATTTCTTTGTGGTTCTTTATTATTATTATTATTATTATTACATTTTCGCCCCCCAGGCCCCAATGTGGGTCAATGACGTGTGCCTGGGTGGGCTAATTCCCGTGTAAAAAAAAAAAAAAATAAGACTCCATTTCACCAACCCAGGCAGCCCTAAAGGAACATGCAAAGCGGGCTGCCTACCAGGCTGGTATCATCAAGGGCCAGGCAACAATCTCCAATCCAGAAACCAGCAGTCCTGTCAACTGGGGATGGACACAGAGGGGAGAGGCATAGCAGATACGTTGGACGACTCTTCCCCCGATTGCGACATGCTGTCAGGAGCTGACCAAATGTTCCTGGAAGTAAGACTGCAACCAGAGATGCAAATGCTTTCGCTCTGGACTTTCCTACACAGCACTTTGCAGCTGCATATGTGAACAGCAGTAAATGCACAAAGATGTACTGTCAGGAGAAGTCAACAGGAACCAGTGCTAATAGTGAGTACTTTTTTTTTAGTAAGTTCTTTTTTGTCATATTTTTTTACTAAAAGTGTTATTTTATGTGGATAAAAATGTTACAATGGACTTAAAACTATAAAAAATCATCTGAGCATGCTTGAAAACATTCATATCAACACCAAGATCACTCAGACTGACCAACTATATCAATTTCTATAAGAAAAATCAACTTTTGAAGGTCAAAAAGGTGGTCATCTTGAAAAATAACCGCCATCTTGGATTTTCAAATGGCAAATCTGGCAGATTTGTGTACAAGGTCAAACATGTCATTTATGAAACAAACAAACAACAGCAGGCCCAATACACTGCCCTGTGGTATCCCGCTTGTGACAGGTACGGATGATGATTTCCTACCATTAATCACCACACACTGCTTGCGGTCATGTAGAAAGTCTTCTATCCACGCTAGGACATTTTCCCGAATTCCATTCCCTTCCAGTTTGATTTTCATCCTTTTTGTGGGGTACTGTCGAAAGCCTTGGCAAAATCTAGGTATATATTGTCGATATTACCACCCCGTTGCAGAATATGGGTCCTAATATCCAATACCTTGAGCAATTGTGTTAAGCAGGAGTGCCCCGGCATAAAACAAGTGTTGGCAATCCTTTACAAGGTTGTTTCCTATTAGATGTTCGATTGCAACATCTCTGATAAGTACTTTACATATTATGCTGGTCAGGCTCACCGGTCTATAATTGTTCGTGGAGTGCCGATCGCCCTTCTTGAAGATAGGACTCACATAAGCCACTTTCCATTCACTGGGGACCATTTGTTCATCCAGGCATTTACAAAACAGGATCTTCAGGGGCCCTGCAAGCTCGTTGCACAACTCTCTTAGCACTCTAGAATGCACCATGTCTGGGCCGGGACTCTTATGGACCTTTAGCCTGGACAGTTTATTTCTAATACCCTCTTCTGTGAACACAATGTGGGTCAGTGCTGTGTCGAACCGTCTGTCCTCAAACGCAGGAAGGTTAGTTGCATCCTCTCTTGTGAACACGGAGGAAAAGAAGTTGTTCAATGCCTCAGCTTTATCCTGGTCAGAATCTGCGTAACTACCATCCACCAGCCTCAGGTCTGATACTCCTACTCGCGTTTTCAATTTCGACTTTGCATAGCGGTAAAACGCCTTTGGGTTTGACTTGACCTCGCTTGTAACCAGCCTCTGGAACTCCTTTTCAACCCCTCTACACTCTTTGCTTGGTTTCTGGCTCTTGCATTCATCCTCCTGTCCTGCTCATCGTTTGACCCAACCCACGTCTTGAATTTCTGGGTTTTCTTCATACCTTTGTCAACCGCCACATGGTTCATGTGTAGGGATCCCCTCGTATTCCTAGAGGCACTGGGTTTGGTCTTGGGTATGTATTTATCAATCAAATGGGTCACTTTACTAGTTACGATATTCAGCATAGTGTCTGCGTTCTTGTGCCTTAATGAGTCAGGCCAGTGGATACCCCTCATCTCTTCCCTCATCCCGTTGCAATTTCCTGTGTAATATTTGCACCTTGGCCTGGCCTTTTCTTGAACTAGGTAACAGTTAAATCTGAATGACAACACACTATGGTGACTGGTGCCAATTGGGGCAAGGTGTTCCATTTTTGGCCACCATACCCTCCTCGTTTGTTATGATGAGGTCGAGTGGCCTGGGTGTTTGCTCCCCTCTGTAATGTGTCAGGTCTCTAACATGTTGGAACAGAAAATTATCTCTCAGAGTTTCTACAAAAAGAGTAGCAGGGCTATTCAAGCCATTTGGGGTGAACTCGTTTCTCTAGTCGATGTCGCCATAGTTAAAGTCCCCCATGATAAGGAGGTGGCTAGGGTTGAGCACCGCTGCATTGTCTATTAAGGCTCTTAAGTTCCTTTGATTTAGTGGGCCAGTTTGGGGATCTGGAGATACACCTGTCAAGTAAATATTAGTAAACCTTATAAAGCCCCCCTACACCCATGGCCATACCCAGAGAAGCCCTGGGAGAGGGTGCACGTTGATTTTGTTGGACCTTTTTTAGGCAGTATGTTTTTAGTAGCGATTGATGCTTATTCCAAATGGATGGATGGAAAGGTGATGAATAGTATAACTTCAACAGCAACAATAGCGAGGATGAGGGACATATTTGCTACACATGGTATGTTAGTAAATGGTAATGGATTTCAGTTCACAAGCAGTGAATTCCAGAAATCCATGTCATGTAATGGAATTAAACATAAAACATATGGACCTTTTCACCCAAGCTCCAATGGGTTGGCCGAGAGGGCTGTCCAAACATTTAAAAACGGTTTTAAAAAAAATGAAGAAAGAGGATACCAGAACACAAGTGTCCAGGTTCCTGTTTAGGTAGAGATGTTCAGCTCAATTTGTTACTGGTACTACGCCAACTGAACTGCTAATGGGTAGGAACTTACAGTCCCATTTGTAATTGATTAGTCCAGACTTCAGATCTTGGGTGAAAGAAAAATAGGAAGTACAAAAAAGGTATCATGACAATTGTGTTAAATTGCATGAATTTGAGGTTCAAGATAAGGTGTTTGCTGAAAATTGTAGTGGCAGGAGGAAGAGATGGTTACCAGCAGTTGTCATAGAAGTGGCAGGAGGAAGAGATGGTTACCAGCAGTTGTCATAGAAGTGGCAGGAGGAAGAGATGGTTACCAGCAGTTGTCATAGAAGTGACAGGATTGATGATGTTCTGAGTGATCAGGAATCTGGTGTACTTTGGAGTTGCTAAATGAAGTAAATAAAAACCTTTCCAATATTGTGAGGATTAATAATAATTTTAGTAGTTTTTATCTGAGTAAAGAGTCTTTTTGAGAGCTTCTCATGGATGAGAAAGCTAAGAATATGAATAATACACCTAACAAAGAAAAGCAAGAGAAAAAAGCCTCACTTCCTGATGACACGTTAATTTTAGGTTGTAAGAATCCAGTAAGTACTGCATCAAAAGGTCCCAGTAGTGCAATTACCAGGTCGAGTTGGGTTGTTCACAAGCCCACTCAATAGGATTTTTAGTTTACGTTTCATTTTAAGTTCATAAGCATTAAACCTATTTTTATTAGGGAAGAAAGGATGTAATAACTTATGCTTTGTATGGTGTGCAAGGCACCACTCATTTGTACCCAGAATTTCATGTTGTGTTTAAGTTTAGACAGGATGGCTCCAAAACCACCTATGAAGATTGCTGCTCCTCTACAATAAAGGAGATACTATTTTTTGGTGGCTGATTTCCCCAGACATATTGAGGTCAAAGATACAACACAAAGATACTTTGAATATCACAAATGTGAGAAACAAATTCTGCATGTAATTTGAGGGACACAGACAGACAATCGAGGTAGAGGGTGTAAGAGTTTAAGGAAGTCTGCAAATTGCCAGAAATGGGAAATCAAAAGCAACACTAAGTATGAGAAAAAAAATTATAAGATTCTAGGAGCAGGAAATGTTGAAGAAGGTGCACAATGTCTAATACATTGTGTGTGTGGGGACCTGAACTGATGACACAGTATCAAATGGGACAGGGTGGAGAAGCACATCAGTGGTCTAACTCTAAACTAACATGGAGACCTAGTGGGAGAGTGAGGATATTATCAGGGGAACAGTAACTTACCGGGAGAAGTTGTGAGAGAGGGAAGCGAGGTAGGTTGTTCTGTCACTCTTGCCAAGCCGCTCACACAACGGCATGTACACCTGGGTCACACAACATTAGTAGTGTATTACTAAGGAACTCTATACAAGTGGACAGTAGTGCAAGCTGTATGGGTCAAGTAATGACCTAAAGTTTTAATTTTCAACTTCCTTCATTTTGACAATATTTTAATTCAGTTGAGTTAGTACATTATATGCTTTGTAAATAACATAGTGGATATAGGTACGGCAGCCATACACCAAAAATCACACTGGATATGGGTACGGTAGCTGCACAGACAGTGTGTGTCGATAGAGGTTCTAGATTTGGTTAACCAGAAAGAAGGCCCTCTCAGTGTATAGTCTGCCCATCAATCAAGCACATAGGGCTGCCATACCAATTGACATTGACGTTTCATATACAGCTGCCATACCCATATCTTGTGCCTATAAATAAAGCACAGTGCCAGAAATGTGTTCATGACTTTCAGACGTTTAGTCCTCAAAACTTAAACTTTTAGTAACTTTCTAGAAAATAATGTAATTCCATTATTATTTCTCCCTTAGGGTAGTACCTGTTTATAATACCTACCTGTTAGTACTGTACTTGTGCTACACCTACCTGGTAGTACTGTACTTGTGCTACATCTACCTGGTAGTACTGTACTTGTGCTACATCTACCTGGTAGTACTGTACTTGTGCTACATCTACCTGGTAGTACTGTACTTGTGCTACACCTACCTGGTAGTACTGTACTTGTGCTACACCTACCTGGTAGTACTGTACTTGTGCTACATCTACCTGGTAGTACTGTACTTGTGCTACATCTACCTGGTAGTACTGTACTTGTGCTACATCTACCTGGTAGTACTGTACTTGTGCTACATCTACCTGGTAGTACTGTACTTGTGCTACATCTACCTGGTAGTACTGTACTTGTGCTACATCTACGTGGTAGTACTGCAATTCTGGTGCTACACCAACCCGGTAGTACTGCACTTGTGCCACATCTTACCTGGTAGCACCATACTTGTGCTACATCTACCTGCAGTATCACTGTACTTGTGCCACATCTACCTGGTAGTACTGCACTGCCACATCTACCTGGGTAGTACTGTACTTGTGCGTCCTGCTAATCTATTTGGTAGTACTGCATTTGTGCTACATCTACCCTTGGTATAATTGCACTTGTGCCATCATCTACCTGGTAGTACTTGCATTTGTGCTACATCCGTCTGGTAGTACTGTACTTGTGCTACATCTACCTGGTAGTACTGCACTTGTGCTACATCTACCCGGTAGTACTGGGTACTTGTGCCACATCTACCCAGTACTGTACTTGTGCTACATCTACCTGGTGGTACTGTACTTGTGCTACATCTACGTGGTAGTACTGTACTTGTGCTACATCTACCTGGTAGTACTGTACTTGTGCTACATCTACCTGGTAGTACTGCACTTGTGCTACATCTACCTGGTAGTACTGTACTTGTGCTACATCTACCTGGTAGTACTGTACTTATGCTACATCTACCTGGTAGTACTGTACTTATGCTACATCTACCTGGTAGTACTGTACTTGTGCTACATCTACCTGGTAGTACTACACTTGTGCTACATCTACCTGGTAGTACTGTACTTATGCTACATCTACCTGGTAGTACTACACTTGTGCTACATCTACCTGGTAGTACTGTACTTGTGCTACATCTACCTGGTGGTACTGTACTTGTGCTACATCTACGTGGTAGTACTGTACTTGTGCTACATCTACCTGGTAGTACTGTACTTGTGCTACATCTACCTGGTAGTACTACACTTGTGCTACATCTACCTGGTAGTACTGTACTTGTGCTACATCTACGTGGTAGTACTGTACTTGTGCTACACCTATTTGGTAGTACTGTACTTATGCTACATCTACGTGGTAGTACTGTACTTGTGCTACATCTACCTGGTAGTACTGTACTTGTGCTACATCTACGTGGTAGTACTGTACTTGTGCTACATCTACCTGGTAGTACTGTACTTGTGCTACATCTATCTGGTAGTACTGTACTTGTGCTACATCTACCTGGTAGTACTGTACTTATGCTACATCTACGTGGTAGTACTGTACTTGTGCTACACCTATTTGGTAGTACTGTACTTGTGCTACATCTATCTGGTAGTACTGTACTTGTGCTACATCTACCTGGTAGTACTGTACTTGTGCTACATCTACCTGGTAGTACTGTACTTGTGCTACATCTATCTGGTAGTACTGTACTTGTGCTACATCTACCTGGTAGTACTGTACTTGTGCTACATCTACCTGGTAGTACTGTACTTGTGCTACATCTACCTGGTAGTACTGTACTTGTGCTACACCTACCTGGTAGTACTGTACTTGTGTCCTACACCTATTTGGTAGTACTGTACTTGTGCTACATCTACCTGGTAGTACTGTACTTGTGCTACATCTACGTGGTAGTACTGTACTTGTGCTACACCTATTTGGTAGTACTGTACTTATGCTACATCTACGTGGTAGTACTGTACTTGTGCTACATCTACCTGGTAGTACTGTACTTGTGCTACATCTACGTGGTAGTACTGTACTTGTGCTACATCTACCTGGTAGTACTGTACTTGTGCTACATCTACCTGGTAGTACTGTACTTGTGCTACATCTACCTGGTAGTACTGTACTTGTGCTACATCTATCTGGTAGTACTGTACTTGTGCTACATCTACGTGGTAGTACTGTACTTGTGCTACATCTACCTGGTAGTACTGTACTTGTGCTACATCTACGTGGTAGTACTGTAATTTGTGCTACATCTATCTGGTAGTACTGGGTACTTGTGCTACATCTACGCGGGTAGTACTGTAGATGCCTTACACTTATTTGGTACTGTACTCTGTGCTACATTCACCTGGTAGTACTGCACTTGTGCTACATCTATCTGGTAGTACTGCCACTTGTGCTACATCTGCCTGGGTAGTACTTCGTACTTTGTGCCACATCTATCTGGTAGTACTGTGCTTGTGCTACATTCCACGTGGGTAGTACTGTACTTGTGCTACATCTATCTGGTAGTACTGTACTTGTGCTACATCTATCTGGTAGTACTGTACTTGTGCTACATCTACGTGGTAGTACTGTACTTGTGCTACATCTATCTGGTAGTACTGTACTTGTGCTACATCTACGTGGTAGTACTGTACTTGTGCTACATCTATCTGGTAGTACTGTACTTGTGCTACATCTACGTGGTAGTACTGTACTTGTGCTACATCTATCTGGTAGTACTGTACTTGTGCTACATCTACGTGGTAGTACTGTACTTGTGCTACATCTATCTGGTAGTACTGTACTTGTGCTACATCTACGTGGTAGTACTGTACTTGTGCTACATCTATCTGGTAGTACTGTACTTGTGCTACATCTACGTGGTAGTACTGTACTTGTGCTACATCTACCTGGTAGTACTGTACTTGTGCTACATCTACGTGGTAGTGCTGTACTTGTGCTACATCTATCTGGTAGTACTGTACTTGTGCTACATCTACGTGGTAGTACTGTACTTGTGCTACATCTACCTGGTAGTACTGTACTTGTGCTACATCTATCTGGTAGTACTGTACTTGTGCTACATCTACCTGGTAGTACTGTACTTGTGCTACATCTACCTGGTAGTACTGTACTTGTGCTACATCTACCTGGTAGTACTGTAGATGCGTCTTACACTTATTTGGTAGTACTGTACTTGTGCTACATCTACCTGGTGGTATTGTACTTGTGTCTTACACCTATTTGGTTGTACAAGTAACAATACTTGTATTTTAAAACTAATAAGTAGTACTTGTTTGTTACAATAACCTCATTGAATATGGAGTAAAGGGTAAGATGGGTGTGTGCATGGAGGTAAGTGACATGTAGGAAGTGGGGGAGGAGCTCCTGGGCCTGAGTGGTGTCAGACACATCCTGCACGGTGCCCTCCGCCACCTTCTTCAGCAGTACTCCTGGGCACCCCACCACTGGAGGGAACGCTCCCTCCTGCACCTGCAGTACCAAGTCCGCGCCCACCACCTGTGTATATGTCTGACCAACACACACATTTTAGTAATGTATACATAACACACACACAGCTATCATACTATACTCATATGACACACACAAAACTCATACAGTGCACACAACACACAGTTAACATATTATAATCTCCACATAACACAAACAGCTATCATACTGTACATACTACAGTACACACAATTATCATACTGTAAGCACAATAAAGCACTATTATCACATTAAATGAACCCCGTAAAATTTAATACAATATTTATGCTGTACAGTACATGTTCAAACCCTTGGTAAAAAGCTCTCCCAAAAGAAATTTGGGGGTTTGTTCTGTTACCTCACTACAATTGACTGCACCACAGTGTACATATTGTATCACAGCAAACTTGCTATTTGAAATAAAAAGGTAGAATTTGTTGCATTAGCATTTTAAATAAATTATCTTCAAACAGCTTTGTATGAGTAATCACGATAAAATTATTATTTCTATACATAAGCACAAGTAGAACACCAAAAAAGATTTCTGCTTAATTTAAATGTTAATACACTTTATACAGTACAGTACAGTATTCAGGATGGACAGTTCATAGAGTCAAAGATAAGGAGGTTTCTTTCTAAAGGTAATATTGAATCCAGCACTTCACCGTGACGAGCTCAGGTCATAGTTATAAGGGACGAACAACATAGAAAACGAATGGTTGTGGATTATTCGCAGACAATAAACCGTTTTACCCGACTAGACGCATATCTACTGCCAAGGGTAGATGAGTGTTGTGACGGCATCGAGTGTGAGCTCTTTCAAGAGAAGACTTGACCAACACTGGAGCGGGTTCAGGTACATTCAGGAGCCGGTGCATGCCCAGTATTTGCCAACAGTGCGTGACAGAGACGTGACCGATCGCCCGGGCGGCTAGCGAGCCGATCTTTTGGTGAAGAATATAAATGAAAAGAGACGTGACCGATCGCCCAAGCAGCTAACAGGATAAAAGTAAAAGTAATACCAATTCCTTAGTACTGTTGATCTGAAATCTGCCTACTATCAAGTTCCTCTTCAAGACAAATACAAACCATACACTGCATTTGAGACTTGTGGGCGACTTTACCAGTTTCATCAGAATACCCTTCGGAGTTACTAATGGAGTTGCATGTTTTCAGGGTTTGATAGACCAGTTTAACACTAGAAACTCTCTTTTGGATACCTTTGCCTATCTAGATAACATCACCATTTGAGGGAAGAATTTAGCGGAGCATGATACAAATCTTCATAAGTTTGTGGAGGCTGCCAAAACACACAACTTAACATTTAACCTTGATAAGTGTTCATTTTCTACCACATCTGTGAACCTCTTGGGCTATACCCTTTCTGGAGGCAAGATTAAGCTTGATCCACAAAGGCTTCGTTCAATACAGGAACTTCCTCTTCCTCAGAACATGAACTCTGCATCCTGCCACAGGTATGTTTTCTTACTAATCCCAATGGATCACAAACATCTCAAAAAAATTTGCACCTCTTGTGCAAGCCAGGATGTTTCCATTAACTGAAGATGCTCAAAAAGCATTTAGTAAACCGAAAACTGAAATTGAAAATGCCATGGCACACTCCAGATCTAGCAATAGCTGCTACTTTGAACCAGGGTGGCAGACCCGTTGCTTCTTCTCCTGAACATTAAATGCAGGTGAACAGAAGCATTCAGTCATAGAAAAGGAAGCACATGCCATCGTAGAGTCGCTGTGTAAGTGGCGTCATTACCTGACTGGATGTCATTTTACCCTGATTACTGACCAAAAATCAGTTACTTTTATGTTCGATTCTAAACCATCTGGGAAAATCAAGAACGATACAGTCAGGAGATGGAGGATCGAGCTTGCTTGCTTGCTACAGTTTCAATATCTTGTACCATCCTGGTAAGAGTAATATTCCTACACACACACTTTCTAGAGTGTACTGTTTTATAAGCATCACACGTATGGTACATTTCATCAGTACAGTACTCGCAACCTTCCTTTCTTTGTTGAGAAAATGAAGATAGTCACTTCTTGCTCCATCTGTGCTGATGTACTGTGCACAATAGTACTGGTCCCTTTAATCTCTTCCGATTCATATTACAGGTGCATAGGATTCAAACTCACCATACTAAGGGAGTACAGTATCTAAGTTTTATATTGGGTAGTGTCACAGAAAATGGTAAACATTTGGGGTAATTCATATGCTGCATGTTGTTTTATACAAATTATACCAGTGTCCGTGCATATAATCTCAATAGTATTAAGGGAGAACTCAAGGCTCTATGATGGTTGGGAAGGCCCAATTGGTACGTACTAGTGTAATATTGTGCATATGTGTGACCGGGTATGAAGGTTATGGTATTTACGTCTGTGTACAATTAGTAAACATACCTACCTCAGGTGTCAGATGAAAATATAGGAAAACAATGATCTAGGAAAATTATAAATGTATCAGACATATGGGACGTGTTGGGGTTGACCTGTAAACTATACTCAAAGTAAATACCTTGTATCTTATTTACCTTGGTGTGAGTTGAATGCACATCGTTACCTTGTGACCAATAGCCACGAACAGTGCAGTGATTCATGAATCTTATGGAAGTGATAAATAATTGCAAAGTGAGGGGGATGACCCATACATTGGGAATAAAGTGAAGTGGATATACTCAAGCCAAGAACCAAGGCTTTTGTTTGTTCTGGAGCCAAAATACCCTGAGGGCCACAGTTTTGAGGTAATGTGTAAAGAAATTTACCAAAACCTGAGCAGACACTTATTGTACCTTTTACTAAGTAATTTAGAATTAAGGTGTGTAATTATAAGGCATAGTTACAATATCTAAGAAAGTATATGTGTGGAAGCCATAATAAGTTTTGTAAAGTGTGTTAGTACAAAGGTCAATCAGGCCAGTAAACACATTTGGTTACTCTCAGTGACTCTGAAAATCTCATGAGAACAGGTGTACACACCAGAGTGTGAGTGGGTGAGTGGTGAGGACCATGGAGAGAGACACGCGAGGTCCTGGTCCAGCAAACTGCTCTGATCCTGCATTACTCTCCGCCACTTTCTGTGGCCCCGTTAAGGCCTGAGCATAACTCCTCTTCACTTCCTCAGTCTTAGCAAGGATCTCTTTCCCAACTTGTTCTAGTTTGGCAACCAGCAAGAATCCAGCTTCATCTATTTTCGTCCCTAGGGAACTCATTCCCTTATGGCTTGCAGTTGCCTCTTTCACCTTGATTATGCAGTCAGGGCAATACCAACAACAGCCTTTCTGCTTTACCGCATTCTGTACCGTTCTAAACTCTGCATTTGTCAGGCCCGTACAATCTACATCAGACGTCACCCTGCAGTAATCACATGTCAACAGATTTCCTGATGCCGCTTCAGCCCCTGATTCCATACCCTTCATGGTGCAGACTCTGTACAGATCTACTCAGCCTTAATATCAATAAAAATATTGATCTTTATTATTACTATGATAATTGCTTCTAATCTGTGTCTTGGTAGTAGGGCTTTAGCATCAGGGTCCCTTTAAAAGCCCCATAGGTTTGCTGCTTGCATATATATGGTGCTATGATTAGTACCACCCACCCACCGGGCTAGCCAATTAATTGTTTCTGACCAAGAGAGTTACCCCTCAGTGGGATGACTTCCTTTATAATCACATCTACTAATTGAAGTCTAAGTGAAGTGAGATGCGGGAGTCATCATGCCCTTATGGCAATTCAATGTTGTTTAAAAAGAAGAAAAAAATAATAAACTTAGCTGCCCTCTGCTGATCTTAACTTCACGGCACTGTGGGGTTCAGGATATTTGGTTCACACTCAGGATGGGGTGGAGAAAGGAAACTCACAATGTGATGTATGGCGGCGCTTGTTGACCTAGACCACGAGGCATACACTGGGGAATTGGTGGGGTCGGCTACTCAGCGACAAACAGCGTTTGTAGGGGAGAAATCCACTACAATACTCCCCCTTCCCTCCAGGCGGTGGAGGAGACTTGTTGTCTGCAGGGTTGCTTAGCACATGTGAGGCAGAACGGGCGGTGCATGCCTCATGTGAGACAACGGCGATGGCGTGGATGAGCCGGTCGCTGGATACAACTGTCTATATACACAATGTCTGTGGGAGAAGAGAGGGAGAAAAAGGGTGTGTGGAGGCGATGAATGTTGTTCTTCCCTCACGGCAGGTACAGAGTCGTCAGATGCACCTGCTAGGGTGTGTGGGCCTGGGTCAGGAGCAGGGGCTGCGTCAGCAGAAGCGGATGAGGGCTCGTGACAGCAGCTGGGTCCACGACAGCAGCAGGGTGCAGGACATTAGCAGGGAATACCTGAGGGAGAAAAGAGGGGTGTGTGGGTCCGCACTCAGGAACAGAGGCCGCGTCAGGGGCGGCAGAGGTTACTGCTGGGCCGGGGTCGGCGTCTGAGTCAGGACGGGTGTGCTGGGGTCGGTAGGACGAGGTGCTTGGGGCAGGAAGAGGAGCTGGTGTCTGCTTAGAGTAGCAGAGCTGCTCTACGGTGTCTAACCTGTGGTGTAGAGACAGTAGTTGTAGAGCCGATGAGAGCTGCTTCTGTGTGGATAAGCCAGTCTTCCATGCTGCTTGAAGACTGGGAGCGTGATCAGTTTCTCCTCCATCCTGTGTGAGTGCGAATCTCCGGGAGTCACCATTTGTGGGGTTCAAGATGTTTGGTTCACACTCAGGATGGGATGGAGAAAGGAAACTCACAATGTGCTCTCTATATACATGTTGTATTAGATGTACAATGCAGCTTGGTGCTGGGAAGGCAGCATGGTTACAAGCGTGATGTAGAGAGAGCTGGTTGGTGAGGGTGCTCAGAGGAGGACCAGCCTGTGGGTCAGCATGCTCGCCGGCGGGAGAGAGGACTGCCAGGCAGGCGGAGGAGGAGCGAGGACCGCCAGGCAGCGGCGGAGGAGGAGGTGGTGGTGGTGTTGCTGGCTGCGGCTGTAGGTAGAAAGAGGCAGGTCACCACGAGGTCAGGTCTTAAATAGCGGGGGTAGGTGTGGCTTAGTAGTTGACCCCCGCTCCGTGATGTATGGCGGCGCTGGTTGACCTAGACCACGAGGCATACACTGGGGAATTGGTGGGGTCGGCTACTCAGCGACAAACAGCGTTTGTAGGGGAGAAATCCACTACAATACTCCCCCTTCCCTCCAGGCGGTGTAGGAGACTTGTTGTCTGCAGGGTTGCTTAGCACATGTGAGGCAGAACGGGCGGTGCATGCCTCATGTGAGACAACGGCGATGGCGTGGATGAGCCGGTCGCTGGATACAACTGTCTATATACACACTGTGTGGGAGAAGAGGGAGAAAAAGGGTGTGTGGAGGCGATGAATGTTGTGCTTCCCTCACGGCAGGTAATCCACTATAGCACTCTCGTTCGTCCAGTATTGCCATCCACGACAGTTTGAGTTGTCTTCTATTTTTCCTTTTTTTCAGTTCTCATTGACGATTTGTTGCTCTCTATATGCTCTCCCTATGTACACTGTATCTTGCTATGAATGACAGACCATATGCCCACTCGGTCCTTTAGAAACACACACAAAAAACTTTCTTTGTGGCTGTAATAAAATGCCGTTGTAGATAGCCCGGCTTGTTTTGTTTTTGTTTTTAACTATTATTTACTTATGTTCTCTTTTTCAGTTCTCATCAACGAATATATCACTATGAGCTATCTCTGTGTACAATGTATCTCCGTGAATGGTGGATTGTAGGTACAATTTCAGTCCTTGAGAAAGTGCACACACACACACACACACACACAAAAGAAAGTAAAACTCTTTGTGGCATCAATAATATGACTTGGTTACTGCTGGCAGTGTTGCCTTAATTGAAATTATTTACAACCTCCTCTGTGGTCGCTGATGTCACTATGAACTGTCTTAACTAAAGGCGTAATACTACACTCTCTGGTAGACCTTTGATGGTCAATCACAGCCATGAGCACAACTCAAAAAATAAAAAAATTAAAGTCTTGTCATATGGCAATGATTTTAAGGTTGTATGCCTCCCAACCGTGCGACCTAGGCTGTACCTCCAGTCGGTGTTAAGTGAATTTTCAAATATACTAATGCTATTAATCTTAAAAGTCCTACATCGATTTACACATTCACATCACTAAGACGATCTTCACGCTCTTATGTAATCACTGTCCAATATGTGCCGCTCAACAACGAAGGCTCGAATGCCAACACACTTTGTTACAGAGACGCAACACGATCCGACCCGCATGACCCATAACAACACAATCGAATCTGATTGGGAAAAAATACCACGACTTCTAAAAGCAGAAGCCACAATTCATTTTAACTGGTGGCAAAAAAAAAAACGCTTTTGATTGGCCGCATGACGTGTAGGGGAACACATGCGCATGACGATTTATGAAGGCAACACGCTGAGTGGGAAGTCAGGTCGGCAATAATGACTGAAGATTAATGGAATTAAATAGAGAAAGATTTGGCCTGCGCTATCTCCGTTATTATACGTTTCTGACGGTAATATAATAGAAGAAAAGTACAGATATCTTAAAATTAGACGTCTTTTTCGAATATGATAAAAGATTTAGGGTAGGAATGTCGTGTGAACTACTACAAAAAAAAAAACATTAGCTGGATAACCAAAATGATATTAATAATACCATATTTCGAATACAAATATTGATGGTACTAAGTAACCTGCAAAATATTTCACCCTACCCTCGAGGGCAGAGTCAACTTCAGTACCAAACGTTTGCGGGCCACGTATACGAATGCCTGCACCTCAGGAACTAAACACACACACACACACACACACTCACCTCCACAACAAATCCATGATCTCCATTGTCATCATCGGTGTCGTCGACGGCGTTATCATCAAACTTCCAGGAAAACGTCATCGTGGCTGAGGGCAATATATTTAAAATTAGCAAACACATGCTCAACCGACTTGCTTGTCGTGTAGCAAGATCGTTTACCTAAAACCATAACTATTCTAGGTTAATATTATCTTTTCCCCTTAATGTAATTTCATTTTCTAACCCTTATAGATATGTTCTATTTTTAAAAATGAAACAATTTTTAAGAATAGCAATTTTTGTAAGAGTAGTGGGAAGATATTGGAAGCATAATGTTTTGTCATATGGTAGACCCTGCTGCCATATGTGACCAAGTCCCAGGTTGTTGATCTGACTTTCAGCCTCATTTCCACACAACTGCAGGGTCTCAGATGTTTCTCTTACTTTGACAACACAACACACATTTTGTTTCTCACTCTTGACTTTTAATTTTGTTATATTTATTTGTGGCTTATTATTATTATTATTATTATTATTATTATTATTATTATTAATATAATTATTTTTATTATTATTATTAAGTATTAATTTTTATTAGTTTTTTTTTTTACGGGAATTAGCCAACCCGGGCACAGGTCAAACGACCCACAACAGCCTGGGGGGCGAAAAAAAGAACGGAAAGAAATTGAAAATATAGAAAAAAAGGTTATACTGTATTAATCTACACCACGAAGATGCCAGAAAACCAGCTTTTTAAAGTGAGACAGATTGTAAGAGCATGGAAACACAGAAGAAGGCAAAGCATTCCACAGTTTGGCTGTGTGAGGAAAGAAGGAGGTACTATAACGGGTTATTCTCGTGTAACCGATATCCACAGAGAAATGGTGGGCACTGCGGGCAAGACGTGTGTTACGAACCCACGGCCTTACCTTATTATAATTGTTATTTAATTTTATTGTTTTTTATTAATTTAATTATTATTATTATTTTATAATATTTTTGGCCCCAAGGCCTTGATGTGGGTCATAAATGACCTGTGCCCTGGAGGGCTAATGCTCATAAAAAAATAAATTACTTTCACTGTGTAAATGGTGATTCAGAGTCTGTTTACCATGACATCATGGAACCAGCCATTATCTACACTTACGCAACACCACGTAATAAAGACAGATTTTAAAAATTGGTATCAATCTTAATCTCCTTCACACCCGCCACTTTTTCCAAAGTAGCCATGGCAGATGTTTGCTCCCAGTACAACCTGAAACATTTTAAAGAAATAGTGGACACTTACCACAACCAAGAAGGTGCACTTGAAATATTCCAGAAGCATGGAGTGTTACCAAGAGCTAGACAGTGCCCAAAGTGTGTTAAGCAGTAATTTTACAGAAAAAACAGATGAGCATTCCCGAGACCCCATAGCCAGAAAACTAAAGCGGTAAAATTTTGAGGTATCCGAATTTAAGGGTACAGTCAGTTCTGCTACAATGCGATAGTTGTGTTCTTGTAAAACCTCGTGTTGTAGAAATTTGCGCAAAAGAAATAACAGGGCTTATGGAGAAAATAGGGTTAAGTGCAGATTCCTCGATATCGAAAAAAATTTTGTAGTTAGCCTAACACAAAGAATCCTTTTTTTTTGCAAATTTAGCTATTCCCGTTGCAAGCACAATGTCACATGTTCTTTCCATACATTGAAAACGCTTGATAACATCAAGCTTCTCTTCAAGTGTTATAGCCTTTCTTTTACGATTACCACCGGGAATGCGATTACCAGAACGCTTCTTGGAGATACTGTATTCTTCTTTTCCATATTCACAGTTAATACCACAAAATTGGAGAAATAGTAAGCAAAAATCACTGAGGACGCTTCAAAACAACCCAAGTGTTTCAACTGATCGTGTGATGGAAACAGAAAGCGCTGGTGTAAAAAGCTATTAGTCTGCACTGCGAAACATTTTTTTTTTCATACAGTATTTATGGGAACAGCTAAATTTGCAAAAAATGGATGAAATTTATAGTCCCTATCAAATAACACTTCACAAACAAAACACATGAATCAATTGAACATGTGATGTCGAACGTGAACTGTAAACACTGCATAACCCCGTGCCAAACGACAGTACACTTAAAACATTCGAGTGGAATCGCGTTACAGCCAACACGCATTTTACAAATATCGTTCTTCTATTCATCAATCACGTTATAGCCAGTTCACGTTGACAAAACACGCATTGTAGCAGAAATGACTACCTGGTTTTCACAGACAAGAATCACGCCAAGCTAAAACCTGATGTTTTGCTAGTAAGAAATAGGCCCTACATGCCTTGGTGGGGTAGCCAGCGGCATCACCGGGGTGATTCGGCTTCACCCCCAGCTAACCAATGGTCTCACCAGGGGAGAGGGGGTTAAGTTAGGTTAGATTGGGTTAGGTTAGTTTAGATTAGGCTAGGTTTGGTAAGGTTTCCTTCATTTGATATGAGAAATTGCTTTTCTGGTATATTTTAATGTGATTCAGTAAAATTTGACCTTCGTTTCTTGTGAAAATAGCCATTTTGGGTGTCTTTCAATTTTCTAAAAAAGAAAAAAAAAAAAAAAAAAAAGAAAGTTCGTTTCCACAAGAAACGAAGGTCACATCTGGAAGAAACGCCAAAATACATCAGAAAATTAATTTCTCATTATCAAAATAGGGATTTGGGGAAAGACTAACAATTACCCTATTCTATCAGACAACTAGTATAGAAGCCAGGGAAAGTGTCAAACTATGTTCATCAAGTTACCAGTATTGGAGACTGCAGGATAAGGGGCAGTTGGGGCATCCAGGTCATTGTTGAGGTCTTGTTCCTGCCAGAAAAACAGACAGGCACCCGCTGCTGCCTCATCCAGGAACCTGAATAACAAAACATGCTTCTATTAGATCTTCCTTGTTCCTAATACTGTTCTCACTCGTGTGTGTATATATATATATATATATATATATATATATATATATATATATATATATATATATATATATATATATATATATATATATATATATATATATATATATATATATATATATATATACATATATATATATACATATATATATATACATATATATATATACACACACACACACACACAGGTTGTACCTCTCTAGTCCGGCATTCTGTGGTCCGGAAACTCCCGTGATCCGGAACGATTTTAGTTTGTCCAATAGGTAGATAGGCAGCTCTTTTTTTCTTTTTTTTATAACTTCTCTGAATTATTATTATTATTATTACAGGAGTATTAAATTTTCGCCCCTAAGGCCCCAATGTGAATCAGTGACCTATGCCCGGGTGGGCTAATCCCCGTAAAAAAAACAACAACAAAGCCGCGGGAAATTAAGGTTTGTTTATATCTGGCAGTTCGGCTGCTCTCTCTCTCTCTCTCTCTGCTTGTCTATACAGAGTACAACATTTAACCCTTCAATATATACGACAGTAAATAAGTGTTGCTTTCATATTCTTATGTAGAGTAATGACGATATATTTTCACATGTGCGCACTTACAGACATGCAGTCTCACTTTTTTCTTTACCATTAATGGTTAGCTACTTATATTGTTCCATTTTATTAACATTAAATAACATTACTTCAAACAAGCTTATTAATTTTTTTACATTAATTTTACTACAGCTACAACCAGGGTCTTGTTTTCTTGTTTTATATGTAGAACCAATCAGTCACTGGTTTTGTAAGCATTAACGAAAACAATGCCGGCAACCGTCTCGTCTCTTCGTGTTAATATTCCACGTATCATTAATGAATTTTATTGTTCATTTTGCACACACAAACATTAATTCAATAACAAAAATTCAGAAACATTAATTAAAATATACAGCTAGACCCCTACTTACGACGGGGTTAGGGACCCAAATCCAGGTCCTAAGTCCGACATAGATAAAAAAAAAAAATAAATAAATAAATAAAAAAAATAATTCAAAATTTAAAAAAAAAAAAAAAATTTAAAATCTACAATGAAATACTGTACACTAAACGTAATAAATAATGAGGAATGGATACAGTACAGTAAAAGTAATAAATAATGAGGAATGGATACAGTGTGCCTCAGCACTTACCTTAAATGTAGTCAGCTGAATGCACACAGGGCCCCCCATAATTTTCTATTTACAGGATACATGGAGACTATATTAATTGGAAGAAGCAGAAGAGGAGACAGGGCTGGGTGGGTCATCAATGTCGCTTCCTTCAGACAGGTTTATGTGCTGTAAAAACTTGCTGGTTGAAGGTATTGGATCATCTTGAGGGAGTGAAGAGGCAGCACTGGTGGGGCGTGAGGAGACAGCACTGGGGGACTTCTTGAAATAGATGTCCAATTTAGACTGCACAGTTTGCTTTTTCTTTTCATTATAAATTTCTCTGTAACAAGCAAGTGCATCTTGGATCGTTCTGTCAACTTTGGAATAACGCTCATAGTTTTGATCCATGCCATCAAACATTTGCATTGCTTCATTAATTGTAGCAAATGCCTCTGCCATTTGTTTCACTGAAAACTTTTTGGGGGGTGCAGGTTCTTCTTCTACATTTTGTCTCTTCTTCCTCTGCAATTTTCTGTGCATCTAGTTCAATAAGATCCTCGTTACTGAGCTCTTCTGCTACACTTTCAACCAACTGTCCAACATCTACAATATCAATTTCTAACTCCAGCTGTTTACCTAACTCCACTATCTTGTTACTAATATCCGAAATAACTTCATTTTCATTAAATCCTTTGAAACTGTGCACATATCTTTTCAGGATTTTCTTCCATTTTCCATTCATGAAATGTTTTGTAACCTGATCCCATGCTGCACTAATGTTCTTTATACATGACAAAATGTTGTACTCCTTCCAAAACTGTCTGAGCATTTTCTCACCTTCAGTAGCAGCAACAGCCTGAGCGAAGGTCGTGCATAAATAATACACTTTAAAGGCAGCAATAGCACCTTGATCCATGGGTTGGATGATAGAGGTAGTGTTAGGTGGAATGTACACTACCTTAACATCAGGGTGCATGTCGTCCAGGTGTGGTGGGTGTCCCGGAGCATTATCCAAAATCAGTAAAATCTTGAATGGAATCTGTTGTTGCAGACAATACTCCTTGGCTCGTGGAATGAAACAAGTCATGAACCAATCCTCAAACAGTACTAGGGTCATCCAGGCTTTCTTGTTACTGCGATAAAACACTGGCAGTGTGTGCTTGCTGACATGTTTAAAAGCCCTGGGGTTCTCTGAATGATAGATCATGAAGGGCTTTAGCTTGAAACCAGCAACATTCCCCCCCAACAGAAGTGTAATTCTGTCCTTGAATGCCTTGAATCCGGGCATTGTTTTTGCCTCTTTGTGGATGTATGTCCGCTCAGGCATGCGTTTCCACAATAATCCAGTCTCATCCACATTGAATATTTGCTCAGGCAAATAATTCCCTTCCACAATCACATCATCTAACTCCTCCTTAAAAGCTTCGGCAGCACCAACATCGGCACTAGCTGCCTCTCCACTCACCTTAACATTGTGTAGACTGTAGCGTTTTTTAAATCTATCAAACCACCCATGACTTCCTGTAAAGGTTTGATCACATTCATCTCCTGCCTGCTCCTTCAGGCTTTGGAACAGGCTTCTTGCTTTAGCCTGTATGGTTAGAACGCTTAAGGGTACACACTTCTGTATCTGGTATTCTATCCATATCACCAATAATTTTTCCATATCGTGAATAGGACCTTGTCTTCTCTTTGATATTATAGTTCCCTTTATAGGTGTTGTTCCTTTCACTACTTCACGAATACGTTCCTTGTTCTTCAGAATAGTGGATATAGTCGAGTGTGAGAAACCTAGGTCACTTGAGATTGTTGCTACAGTTTTTCCATTCTCATGCTGTGTTATTATCTTCATTTTCATCTCAAAAGTAATTGTCTGTCTCCTTTTCCTTGGAACACCACCAGCACTCTCACTTTTACACTTTCCAGTCATTATAAAGTCAATTAAATACAATAATAACGAAAGTTCACAGCGCGATCAGTATAGGATACAATACACAAACAAAGCGCTCCACTGAGTGAGTGTACCCAAGAGACGACCTGAGACGCGCCATCCTCTCGCCCGGGAAGGAAACGTTTCGGTATAGAAAATGCGGGCGTCATTTGAAAATATTTTTGGTCACGACGGTAGCAGTCGTATGTCCCGACGGACGTACGGTCAAAGCAGGTCGAAAGTACCAATGGACGTAAGTCCATGTAGTCGTAAGTTGGGGTCTAGCTGTATATGAACGGTAAATTAGAGTTGCTTTCATATTCTTATTTAGAGTAATGACGAAATGTTTTCACATGTGCGCACTTACATACGCGATCTCTCTTTTTTCTTTACCATTATCGTTAGATACTTCTATTGTTCCACTTAATAACATTACTTAAAACAACCATATTAATTTTACTACAGCTACAACCAGGGTCTTATATGTAGAACAGTATATATATATATATACAGATAGACCCCGACTTACGACGGGGTTAGGGACCCAAATCCAGGGCGTAAGTCCGACATGGTCGTAAGTCCGACATAGATTATCGACGGATTATTTAGCCGGATTTTTATTTTGGCTTTATTTGAACTCTGCGGGCCTTATTTGTACTTTCGCCGCTAGGCGGCACTAGTGGCGTGACTAGCGTCTACCCGCGGCCCGCCTTCCCTGAACACAAACATCAGCCAAGCCGCGTGGGCAACAGTCTTTGATTTTCAACTTTTGCTGGTGGTTCATCACATCAATTTATATCACCATGCCTCCCAAACGACCTGCTGCTCCCTCTGGATCTACACCTAAGAGGGCAAGACGAGTGCTGACGCTGAATGAGAAGAATGAAGTGCTGAAACAACTCGACAGCGGTATGAGCTATGCAGCTGTTGGCCGCCACTTTGGGCTCAACGAATCCAGTGTGCGTGGAATTAAACGACGTGCAAAGGATCTGAAGCACGCTTTAGCTTCAAGTGCACCAGTGACATCAAAAGTGACAAGCCATGTGCGTGATGATGCCCTCATTAAAATGGAAAAAGCACTGAACATTTGGATAGAGGACCTAAACCGCCGCCGCATACCACTTGACTCGAAATTTATTAGGCAGAAAGCTAAGGAACTTTATGATAAGTTTTCTAAAGGTGATGATCATGGTGTTGGTGATGGTGATGGTGATGATCAGGGTGATGGTGATAATCAGGGTGATGGTGATAATCAGGGTGATGGTGACAATTTGAAAAAATTTGCAGCTAGCAAAGGATGGTTCGAGAAATTCAGACATCGTTATGGGCTGCATAATATAAAAGTGACTGGCGAAGCAGCATCAGCAGACACTGTGGCAGGGGAAGCATACCCTGCAGAGTTTGCTAACCACATAGCACAAAAGGGTTATAGGCCGGAACAAGTTTTTAATGCTGATGAGACAGGCCTATGGTGGAAGAAGATGCCACGCCGAACCTACATCTCTAAAGAGGAAAAAAGTGCCCCTGGATTTAAAGTTGCGAAGGACCGAGTGACAGTGATGCTATGTGGGAATGCGGCAGGGCATATGATTAAGCCCATGTTGTTATACACTGCCGCACGACCTCGGGCTCTCAAAAATAAAAACATGAACTTGCTACCAGTTTTCTATAGGAACAACAAGAAAGCGTGGATGACATCTGATTTGTGCGTGGATTGGCTGAAAAACTGCTTTGCTAGAGAGGTGAAAAATTATCTGGATGAACTTGGCATGGAGTTCAAAGTGGTATTATATCTAGATAATTGCCCTGGCCACTCTGAAGAACTCAAGACTACCCACCCCAACATTGAGGTGGTTTTCCTGCCAAAAAACACCACCTCCATCATCCAGCC